AGGGAATTTGGGTGTGGTATGGTTGCTGGTTTCGATTAAGAATGGTTTAGATTAGAGGTAAAAGCGCTTAAACAGAAAGGAAATGTATTTAAATGCCTTGAAGAGTCTTGTGTTTATTAAGTCTACTTGCTATGGAAAAACTTGATCGATTAAATTACCTTTTAGAATGACATGGTTAAAGGAAGGTAGAAAAAGAGATGAAATGCAAAATGATGATTCGTGATGGTAGTTAGATATTTTGGGAATACTGTTTTCCGGCGAGGAAAAACTTGTGTTTGAACACAATAAATGCACCTTGACTTCTCGAACAACGATTAATAACACGGTTCACTCTTCTCCGAACAATGTTCGAACGAGGGTGTTTGATGTTTTTGATGGTTTTTGGGAATAATCTAAGTTACGTTACTCTACTCCTATGGAGGTTCAGTGAGAGCTCCGGAAACTAAGGGCTATGGCTAATTTGCAGAGAAAAAGATAAATTTGACATAGTGTGTCGAATGGTTGGTTGGTAACTGCCTTAGTAACCGCTAGCTGGCTTGCTGCTCCAAACCGCCTCGGGGTCCTTGTCGCCGTCTTGGTGACTAGTTGGTAACCGTCACCTTGGGGGCCCTTGTCCCGTCTTGGGCTGGTGGGTACTTGATGGCCTCGATGCCGGGTGTTTTTGTTGATCCTTGTCGCCTTGTTATGACTGGATGGGGTTGAGGCTCTTGCCTTAGCCTCCATGAACCATGATGAAGTCTTGATCTCACCCTCGACTTCTTGATACCAAGCCAGCTCTGGTGGCTTGGTACCCCGTTAGGGTGCTACCAAGCCCGCCTTGGGACTTTGTCTCCATATGGCCCCATAAGGGCCATACATGGCTGTTTGGTACATAGTCGGGTGGCCACCTCAGCTAGCCACCATGCCTTAGTCGAATTTCTTGTCTTGTCTTGTTTGCTTGATACCATGATGTCTGGTTATCAAGTCCTTCTTGGCCCTCTGTTGCCTGTCCGCCAAGTCAGTCTTACCGGCTTGATACCCCCTTGGGGTCATGATACCCTGTCGCCTTGCTTGGCTGCCAAGCTATCTTGCCGACCCCGTTGGCTTTATACTTAGCCAAATTCATGTTTTTCATGTCTTGGTACCAAGCCCTGCCTTGCCGGCTTGGTACCCTCTTGCTATGGCCATGTCTGGTTATTATGCTTGACACCCTAGTGCAAGGACCCTCTGGGATGATGTCATGCTTGACCCCCCTTGCGCTATGGGTCTCAACACTTAGCCAATTTTCTTCTCTCCTTGCCACACGCTTTGATACCTGGTAGGCGGCTAGACCCCCTTGGATGGTATCATGCTTGACTGCCTTGACGAGACCCCCTGGACGAAGTCATGCATGACAATTTGGCTAAGTATGATGGGGTGCCCATTGGGTGGTTGATGTTGACGGGTGCCATCGCTTGACATGGTATGAAGCCCAAAATACCATTATTTAGGCCCAACCTGAACCAATTTAATTAATTTGATTAAGTTGGCCTTATAAATCACTACCACTCCTTGAAAATAATCAATGTGGTATTGAGTGGTTTTTTAATGGTAAACAAATACCAACCCTTTCTTTGACATTTGGTGAAGGGTATGGTTGCTGCCTCCTCTCCTAGCTTCTGGGATTTTGCTGGCAGCTCTTTTGTGCTTCCTTCCTCCTTTATGTCTTTGCGTTTGGTTTTGGTATTATGATTGCGTTTATTTTGTACTTATGGCTTGCGGCTAAACATACAAAGTGGGGGATTTTTTTGAACTATCGAGTTTGTTTGGGGAAAAGGAATAAGGTCTTTTTATTGTTATCTCTGCTGAAAGAGGGGTAAGTATGGGAGTTGTGTGTGTTATTTCTGTGTCTAAGAAGGAAGAAGAAGTTTGTGGGGAAGAGGAGGAAGAAGTTGATTCCATTGTTCCTTTCTTTTATTGTTTGTAAGAAGAGGTAAGTTTTCGTTTTGTAGAGTTTTGCTATGTGTTTTCTGTGGATCATAACAGAAAGAAAAATGGGAAGGAGGGGAAGGAAGCTTGTGTGCAAGAAGCAGCAGAAGGAACTCGATGAGAAAAGGGAGGAGAAGGAGTAGGAAGTATGTCCCCTTTTTCTGTCTATTGCCCCTGGCGAGGAAGAACAAGGAGGACGAGAAGAAGAAGAAAGAAAATCCAGTCCCCTTTCTCTGTTTCATGGGTTCTTTTTTATAGGAAAAGTCAACTTGTTTCCCAAATTTGCAACAGTGTCTGGGTTTGGTCAGACCTAATGTCTGGCCGGTTTTACTTTGTTGGTTGGTTTGATTGCATGTTTGACCAATAGTTGATTTTGACTTTTGTTGGCCTTGGACTTTGACTTGGGCTTTGATTTAGGCCTAAATTTATTTATTGGTGTATTGTGTTTGTAAATTTAATGTAATAACTGTTTAACAATTATTATGTAATAACATTGTGCTTGTAAATTTATTTATGTTTGATTTAATTCCAATTAAGTTTAATATGATGATTATATAATTTCTTAATACGACTTTTTTTTTTTGTTCAAAATTGAGCCCTAATCATCGCAAGATCCAAAGTCTTAGCTTTAGCTTTGTCTAATCGAAGCATGTCAACACTATCAATTGTATCATGATTTGCTATTGTTAATCGCATTATTTCAAATTATACCAAATAAGATTTGCTATTGTGAATCTCATTCAGTTATGGCAAATAAGACTTCATCGAAACGCTACAAATATGTTTTACTTAGAAGGTCAATTAAGATTCGCTAATCGCTATTGCAAATCTTTAACAAAAAACTAAAATTTATTTAATTATATATGTTTTAGCCCGAACAAAAAGTGGTGTCTACAGCGTAATATATGGCTTAAATAATAACATGGATCGGGACGAAAAAAACACACAAATTTGCAGTGACGAGAGTGATTGTCACTGTTGAAACTCATTGTTGGCCATATGCTCCTCCTCTACAGTACTTTGTGGAAGATCACTTTCTTGATTCTTACGTCTAGGAGCCACCGAATCAAACACAGAGGGCCACTAGGCGTGTAAATTTATTTTTTCACAAGAAACTTTTGTTTGAAATGAATTGCACCTTTCGGCACAATGCTCAAACGAGGGTGTTTGATGCTTCTTATGGCTATTGCAAACAAGTTAAGTTAAGTTACTCTTACTCATATGGATGTTCTGTGAGAGCTATAGAAACTACGTGATGGCATATTTTTATGAGCACATCAATCGTTTTAAGACCTTCCTCCCTGCATATCGACCACATTGAAGCTCCCCTTATGAGACGGTGTTGAGTCAAACACCAGCTTGCAACTCGATAACTATACTTTTGAGAAGTCTGGGTTAACCACGTCATGCCTATCATGTTGGAGAACATATTAGTGTCCACTAACTTGTCATCTATATTGACTCCGTGAACTTCATGCGTTAGTTTTGAATAGCATCTTGCAAAACATTATGAAACATCAGACGAACAATTTTTTCCTATTAATTTCTCAGCTGGTGGAAGGTTATGCCCCTCGGTCAACTTGATCAGGTCATCTTTGTGAAGTTGGTCAAAATCAAATATGCTTTCGTGACATCAAAAGAGTACTTTGTGGCTAGATAGGGGACTAGTTAGGTATGACATATGTGGTTCATTTTCAATGTTAGCCGAAGAAGTACATACATATGGTTTCGCTGAAGCTAACCCGGCCAAATATACCTTCAACTCTTTGGCCTCTAGGCCAACATGTTTGACGAGATGTTTATGTTAGGGAAGTATTGCTCCCTTGATGCAATCCTCCTATTCTCCTCTTCTTGGATAAGAGACTCATACCTCAATGCACAAGACATGAGTTGGAACAAGACTCCCTGACTTGGAATTTCTTCCTCAACTCAAAGTTCAACTCCCTTTATGCAAACTTGACAAACTCCCTTTTGGAGGTTCACTAAGAGCTCTAGAAACTACTGGCTACTTTGTAGAGAAAAATATAAACTTGACATATGTGCGTCAGAGTTGTGGTTTTGAGAATGTTTTTCACTATTTTTTATCTCCATTTATAGTCATCGGGTGTAACTGCCTTAGTAATCGCTGCTCCAATCGGCATAGTATTTGATGTAGCTTGATGCCCTAACTCTCCTTTCTTTTGCACATGCCACTTGATACATTGGCTTGAAAACTTCACAATGTGCTTGATGGGTAGTCTTTGTGTCATAGAGGTGTCTTGCTTGTCGGCTTATCCCCATATCATACTAGTTGTGCTTGTGTTTTGCAAGCTTGATGTGATGTGATGGCTACTTAGCTAGGTGTCTCATGCTTAATACCTAGATAGTCTAAGATGTTTGACAGGTGACGGGTACAATGCTTACGGGGTCACCATCTCATGATAGTGGTGACCACATTGATGACAAGTACCTTGATGATCAACGCCTAATGACATTAAGGTTGACTCGTGTTGTATGACATCATACTTGACACCAAGTGGTCTACAATATGATGGTGTGCATGTCTGACACTTACACTCGTGATTACCTTGTTGAGTAGGCTCTGTGTTAGATACTCATGAAGCTATCGAGCTCGACTTCTTGGGGTGCACGTGTCCACCCCATTGGATGATGGCATGCTTGAGGGTCTATGAGGAGGGTGCTGACGGATGTGCACTGACTCCCTTATGGTGATGTCATGCTTGGAGGGTCTTGACAAGGGATGCACATGGTGACCCCATTGGATGTGTTATTGCACAAGGATTGAGGAAGATAGTCTATCTCACTCTGTCATATCTTGTCCTGTTTTATTTTGTTTTATCTTAAATTTCTACACAATATTTACATAAATTACTCATACTCGAACCTTTATTAAAGTATAGTACATCTTTTTCCATATTAAACCACACATGTAATGTTAAGTCACTGTAGAAAAAACATTATGCAACTGCATCATTATTTTGTTTTCTTACGTATTCTATATTCTCTAACATTGTAATGTCTGGGTATTAATTTTGTATATACAACATGAATTACACCATTGATAGTGTATATTCGGTAATTCCGACTATGCCTCAAGGGCAAGCTATAGTCTCTTGAGATAGATATTTCTAACACCATAGTGAGTGCCTTTTTGCAGGAGAATCATAATCCATTTATTGATGATATGAAGATAAATCAAGGACTATATCTTAAGTGAGCCACATCTTCTTGTAAATACTCAGCATAGAGGAAATTCGATATCAATTATTTCTTTCGGTTATTGATACATTGCATGAGCCACGTATACAATAATATTCTCCATGGCCCATGCTCGAGTTTTGTTCTTATGTAGGAGACCAAACATAAACTACTCTAGTGAATGTGTATTGGTCCGATTTGATGAGGATACAAAAAATCCTCAAGATTGTACAACTGGTTCTGTCGGCTACTCAGGTGATGAAATAATCTCATTTTCTTTTGGTAAAATTTTGTTACGATATTTCTCACGCTTATATACGGAACTACTTGACCTTAGTGAGAGAGGGGCTAGGATGCTAACATTTTTTTTGTTAGCATGGTGCTAACACTAGCTCCAGTCAATCCGAACATTTCGTTTGAATGACTCTTCCATTTAAATGAATTGACCACAAATAATGAGGGGGAAGAGCAAGGAGAGGTACGCTTGGTATTATTAAAAATTGGGGAAGGGGAGGAAGGAAGGAAGGGGGACCACGAATCATGTCACAACCTCAAAGCATGCTACAACCTCAGAGCATGCTTCAACCACAAAGCATGCCACAACCTCAAAACATGTCACAACCACAAAGCATGCCACAAGTCCACAAAGCATGTAACAAGTTTATAAAGCATGCCACAAATAGTGGACCTGTTTGTAAATTTGAAAAAATTTAGGTACCTAAATGTAAGAGAGAAAATTTAAAATACTAAAACATAATTTTTCATCGATATTTTTAGTGCTCGAATGTAAAAAAAAAGTTACTAAATATTAATAGCTATTAAGTTCAGGTACCAAAACTGTAATTTGTATATGGAACCTAGAAAAGTTACGTAAATGGAAGGGAGAACGAAAACTACTATAATACCCTTAATGAATGTGTTAGTATGGTGCTAACACTTAAGTGTGTTAGGGTGTTAGCACCCTATCCACTCTCACCTTAGTGGTGCTATGAGGCGATGTCTTAGCATAATGTCTTGGTTGTTATTTTTTGCGAAGAATTCATCAATAATGCTACATTGAGGAAGTCTTTCGACTATAGCCCGAGCCATTCCGGCCTTGCCCTAAGTGCTTTATCATGATAAAAAAAAATTATGTAACTACCATCAAGTCAAATAAGAATATTCACATCTCAAATCTCGACTTTATATCATTTCATTCTCTATTTTTATTAAGAAAGTACTTTTTCTAAAAAAACAAATACCCAAACGTGCTCCATTCTAACCATCAGACGTGAAAGAGGTACTACTATTGAGCTACCAGGCCCAGTCCCATTTGTAAACGAACATAGCTTCACTTGCCTAAAATTTGTTGGAACCAGAAAAATGTACAAAAGAAAGAGCACATGGGGAGGTCAAACAATATGGATACATAGATTATATCACAGCTTGATTGACAGAGAGGCAATAATAGAATACAACAAATATGTCCTTAAAAGAATATTTACTCAAAACTCTTAGCATTTTACACTAATGCAATCCATAGCCGCCGCCGCCACCACCACCAATCCAACTCGTCACCCAACAAGCTCTCGGATAAGAACTTCAAAAACTGCCACCGTTTAGCCCTCCGCCCACAACACGCTGGTTTGGTGTTTCCAGTGCCCCGGTAAAACCCAATCCACAAAATGGCGAACCAGAGCCATGAGCCATCTAGCAAGCTATTCTCTCACTATTTCCGTTGTGGTTTGGATCTTCCTTCTTCCTGGTGTTTTCAGCTCAAGCGTATAGCATATGTTAACGCATCCAATCAGAAAATTAATACATACACCTTGTTGCCAAACGAGTCAGAAGGTCATTTCGATCTACTCGGTTGTCCATAATGATCATGTTTCGGAGGCAAGAGACCCAGGAAGCTGCCACCACCGCCATGTGCAGGCTGTGTTTGAATGGCATCATCCTCTGCTGTCTCGTCCTCTGGGGGGAAAAAACCAGGATTTGATTAACCAATGTGATCGAAGTAAAAAAGAGAGAGTCGCCATCAAAGTCTTTGCTTTCTTGGTCGGAACGGTACAAAGCTCACATCACTGGTGGGAATGGAGAGGTATCACCCACCCAACAGTAGTTGCCGGTTAACGCAAAGCTTTCCAGATTGCAGGTTTTGATAAGGGAAGGAGTTCAATAAAAAGAACTTACCAAAAAGGGACTTGATCGAGGGTCTCTTCGGCTTTGTGCTCTTCTTCTTCAGTTCAGCTGTCCATTAAAATGTGCAAAAAAATCATTACCTTGGTGTAGCTGGAAGTGGAAGACAACCCACATAAATATAACCGACGACCATTGAATTTTTAAGGCTATGTTTGTTACTTTCTTTCATCCAATTTTTATCTCCTAAAACGGATAATTATTCATGATACGCTCAACAAATTTTAATGGGTCAAAAACTCATCTTTGATTCCTTTTCATAACTATAGTAAATATATTCATACTGTCAGTTACACAACCCATTGACCCACACGTTTTTCTGCTCTACTAAAACATATTTCATAATTGAGGAAATATCATTGTCCCATCAACTATATTTTTTAAACAAAATATTATCTAACACTCTACTCTTTGGATAAATTAACTTTTACTTCCTGCCATTTCATAAAACGAAAAGAAACAAACACAGGCTTTGCGAAATAAGCCAAGCCGAGCGGATCGGATCCGATCGGCTGCGAACAAGTACAGTGCTGTACTGACTGTTAAATGCACACAAGAAAACATTCCTTCTGACGTAAAAAAGATTACTTTGGAATATTATCCTGCCCATCATGGGCCATGTCTACTACAAGTTCCCCCACTAAGACAGCGGTAGCATCCAGCTGTGTCAGTCCACATCGACGACCCAAATCAATTATGAACTATAACGTGCAATGCTCAAACTAGCACGTCGGATTTTAATGCTTGAAATTGTTTAGAGGCATGCATATATTTATGTCATCTATAGACTTGTTGAGCTGACATGAACGTGAGCATAATATATTATCAAATATTAAGACAAGAACATGACAGAATATTACCTATACCAGGCAATTGATGATCATTCACGATTTCGAAGTTCTTGTATGTGTAACCCACAAAATTGATATCCTTGGATGATAGCATCTGCATCATATAACATCGCAACAACCATCAACCTCAAGACCCCGAAATTAATTATATAGTGAAGGATCTCTAAACCCTCAGCCTCAACCCATTCATTAGATCAAACAAGTATTAACACGGGAAATTAAAATTGCTCCATGTTCGCCAGGAGAACACGAAGGAACATGTCAAAGTGGCAAGCTTTGAGCCAAGAATGGGATTTTACCCCCATTAGAAGAAAAACTTTGATGTTCTTACCTTTCTCCATGGTCCAGATTTATTTGGAGTCTGCATTTGGCTGTCATCCTAAACAAAAGATCATGAAAATCAGAAGAAGAAAAAAAAAACATGCTTCTAAAACAGGTCTTTTGGTTTTCACAAGTAATATGATCTACCTCATCAAACTTCTCAAAATTTTGAGTATCCAACTCATCATTGACCTCAGGGATGAATGCAGCTTTCATCTGATACAACTTCTCCCATTCAACACCTTTAAACCAAGGGTGTGCCTGAAAAAACATAGGTCAAAGCACTTACTCATATATTCCTTTCGAATCCTCAACTAGATTTAAATCAACATTTCAAGAATAGGACACACCACACAACACCTTTATTTCGTGCGCACCCTTAGTCCCAAGCCTCAGTTCTACATTGCATAACAGTCTACAGATAAGATCCTTAGCATCGGGAGATAACCTTGCTTCTTCCGGAAATTTTAAATGAGTCTTCCAATTAACAATCTGCAGGACAGGATCGCTGATCAGAATTTGTTCAACTCAACGGCATTCAATTAGTAACAGTTTTGGAGGACTTTGATGAAAAAAAGTGCGAATCATACGCTTGAGTTTCCTCATCCAAACATAAATGATAAGACTTAAGGTAACTTGCTCAGTGATACAAGTAAATGCTTGTGGATAAACAGCATTAAAATAGCACCTTCCTACAAGTTGACATTGGCTCATCGGAATAGAATGGTGGGTATCCCACAAGCATCTCATACATGATAGCACCCAGAGACCACCTGGACAAAAAGTACGAAGTTTAACCACAACCGGACAATCCCAGAGTGAGACATATTTCACATAATAAACGATAAGATGTAAACAAATTTAGTGTACGAACCAATCGCATTCCATTCCATATCCTTTCTTCAGCAAAACCTCAGGGGCAATGTAGTCCGGTGTTCCAACAGTCGAATAAGCCTAAAGAAAGAAGAAAGTTATTACTATATTAGCCAGAGTTTCCGCATAAAGATGACACAAGAAATTCGACAGAAAACCTAACAAAATGTGCTGAAATACAACGATAATCGCCAGAAAATCAACTTGAAGAAACTCAAGTACCGCATTGGACCTGACCGAGAAGTAACGTTGGGAACGATATACAGATTCCAGAAGGGTCTCACTATTTAGTTAAGAGAGTTCGTATGCAATAGGAGCTAATTATAACAACAACAAAATAGGACTGACCCCACTGCAGAATTCTAGTGAACTTACAAGCATCCTCCTGTTCCTCTGCCAGTGCTGCAATTGCTCCTGTTGTGTGCGTCTTGGTACTGCAGGTCGTCCATCACTCTGAAGAGCTCCACTAAGTTTATTTGATGCCGTAAAATCTTTTTCTTGGAGGTTAGTGCAATCTAGAGGTTTACATAGTCCAAAATCAGAGAGCTTCATGTGGCCATGCTTGTCTAGTAGCAAATTGTCAGGCTTGATATCTCTGTGAAACAGAAGAAAAGATGAGTTTTATATGACCAACGAAACAAACAACTAAGCAACCATGACAAAAGAAAAAGCCAACAGACGAATGATTCAATTACCTATGGATGTAGTTATGCCTATGGATAGATTCGATAGCCAGGACAGTTTCCCCAACATAAAACCTAGCCTCATCTTCAGTTAGGGTATCCTTCCGCATAAGCAAAGTCATCATATCCCCACCAGGTAAATATTCCATTATAAGATATAGATACTCTTCATCTTGGAATGAGCAATATAGTTTGACAATGCAATTGCTCTCAACCTCTGCAAGCAAATTCCTTTCAGCTTTTACATGTTCAACCTGGGCAATCATAGATTTTCATTAAGCATAAGCTACTGATAACTGATATGAGCATCTGGAGTCAGTTAAATAGTCACAAACCTGGCCTCTACGCAACATCTCTGATTTCTTAAGCTTCTTCATTGCATATACATGACCTGTTGACTTCTCTTTACAGATTCGAACCTGAAATTTATAAATGGAAACGCGATGGAGTAAATACAAGCAAGCGAGTAAGTTTAGTATAGCATCATAAATAAAAGCTCCATGACAGACAGAGGAAGCCTCAAAATGAAATCTGGAGTGTTCGTGTACCCTACTACAGCACATATATGAATATCATATGGGCATATATTATGAACATTCCATGCAGGCTAACCTCAGAGAAAGAGACGCACCCTAAAAGTATGTCAAAGAAGATTCAGCAGTAATAAGGGCACAATAGTATGAAGCCTGGATAATTTATTCCGGCATGCATCTTCCAAAAGAAAAGGCATACCTCCCCAAATGCACCCTTGCCTATCATTGTCAATGGCTCGAAATCATCAGCTCCCATTTTATGTCTCTGGAGCCGCATGAACTCTGTTTCCTTTTTCTCTAAATATTTTATTAAGTTGCTTTGTTCTTCCTCCGTGACCTCCGCATCAGCCAATTTCTTCTCAAGCATATCTCGCCTGCAAGATGTCGTATTATCACTCAAATTCAAGAACCACCAAAAGTTAATGCCATCCACAATTGCAGACAAAACACCAGACTTACCAGAATCTCAAACCAAGTACAGATAGATGAGAGGAACGATATGAAATACTCAAAAGAAAACCTATGAATATGACCAGATTGGAATTTTTCTAAGACCATAGCTACGAGTAAATCATACCGCTCTCTTCTTTCCTGCAGGTCTTTCATCTGCTTCTTATAATGATTTTCAATATACTGCTTTGCAGCTGCAACCCTTTGTTTGGTTACATTTGACGGCAATTCTTCACTACTTGGTGCTTTAGTCCCCTCTTTACCGTAGACTTCTTTCTTTTTCGAAGGCCTTGCTTTGTCTTTTGACCTGAATTTGCTGAACCAACATCGTGCAGACTCCATATATCTCAATGTAGAATTACTAGTACCTCCTCAGCTTTTTCCAGACGTAAATTTAGATCTATGATGTGATCGAATTAAATCAATCCACATTCATTTCACCTACTCCAGAAAGGTCAGATATTCATCTTAAGTCCCCATTTCCAGGATGAGAAATTGCAGTACAACTGAAGTCTATATCCTGCATTGATAAAGCGCCAGATAATTAGAATGAGAGAAACCCTAAGCGCACCAGGATGGATGAAGAACATTAAAGAAACAAATATAAGAATATTTCAGAAAAATATATCCTAATCAGAAAGAAAAACACAAAAGCTACATTCCAGTTGCACAAGGAATCCTAAAACCAACATGAAACTTGAAACAAGACATAGTTATGCATATTGTCTGATTTGTTTGTTGATAAAGGATTGTTGCAGGAAACCCCAATGGTCGATCTTTAGCACCTTCCTTCGTGCTCGACAGTTCTCTAAGGTACTTGGTCAGATCTCACGGCAACAACAATTCGTCTAAGCCATATCCCCAGGGTCAATATTAGGCGTAACTCATTAGGCTGCCAAACAAGATTTTTGTCAAAAGAAAAAAATCAAACCAACAGTTTACAGCTAAACCTGTCTGCCTTGATCTAATAGACTAATACACTTGCACCAAAAGGAAACGCTAGTACTTCTGAGCTGCCTCATCAAATATCTCCTGTGACTAGTCTAAATCACTCAATGCTGTGTTCTAAACTCCAGCAGGGAAGAAAATCTAGGTCACCAGAATCCTGTGTGAGCTCGATCCTAATTTCCAGAGCTTTTTCAGTTATCACAGCAGGCAAGCTCATCATAAAAAAGCCTTCCACCCTAACTATCTAGGAAAAGCAAATTGAAATAAGTAGAGGAAGAGACGAACTAAAGATAGCGCAGTCGCCTTCCCCCCTCACTGAAAACTCCCAACAGTTGTTCTCCCCCTTAATAAAATCCACAAAGAATCCAAGGAAAACGATCGGAGTGAAAAGAAAGGAAATGGAGCAAAAAAAACAAACGATCAAATCCAGAATTCAACATCCGATAAGCAGCGACTTCCAAAGAGAGCTTTCATCACTGTACTTCCCACAGTTACATCCACATTTCTCCCAGTTTAACCTAACACAGACTCCAAATCGGGCAACTCGAAAAGCTCCAGAGAAAGCTTCCGAGTTCCAGAACCAACAGAGACGCAGCTCAGAGCCACGAAATAAACGGAAGCAATCAAGAAGTAGAAAAACAGTGGAAATGAACAAAGAAAGAAATAAGGGAAGGGAACAAGAGTTCAAGTAATCGGAAAGCAAAAAGGCAAACCAAATCGGAGAATTTCCAGAGAGCCGGATTCAGAATCAGGAGCAGTAGGAGAAGAGGGTGAAGAATAGTACCGAGGCAAGTGGCGGCAGGTGGAGAAGCTAGATGGAAGAGGAAGACGGAGAGGCGGGAATTCTCGACGGAGGGGAAGAGAATGAGAAGGAGAAGAGGTGAAGTTCGTGACTCTGGAGACCACCCAACATTGTTGGTTGCGTTGAAAGTTATGAGAGAGAGAGAGCGCTTTGGCTTTGTTGCTGCTTTCTTTTGCTTTCCTCTCTCTTTCATTTCTCATTTTCCTTTTTCTCCTACTTTGCGTTTCTGTTATTTTTCACCGTTACTCGCTGTCCATAAAGTGAAAAATGAAAATTTCAGAGGTTCCGTTCCCGTCCAGCAACATCAACCTCGTTCGATAGGGAAATATTACCCAGTGCGTAAAATAGAATGTGGTACTCGTAAATTGGCAGAATAGTATAAATTCGATTTTAAACCTAGCATATCTATTAAATATCATTGCTAATGTAGTGATACTCTTCTTAATCGGCAAAACTGACTAATATACTACGGGGCGGTTTGGAAGTTGCGAATGCTAAATCGTTGTATTATAATGAATCACTACAATATAAATATATGCATTGATACAATAGATGCATTTTGACAATATATTGTTTGGTTGTTGAGATTCTAGTTTATATATTGATTTGCATAAAGTTACTTTATAGAGAAATGTCACATTTACCCTCACTTTTTAGTATAAAACAAAAAATATTGGTGTTATAAATGGAAAGAAAAAGTGGACACAAATCTAAAAGGAACAATCACAACAATCTCAACTTTTAGTTGAGATTGTATAATGCATAATTTTTTGTGATTGTTGGTGGGGCCTACACAAAACAATACATGCATTGTTTTAGAACTTGACACTTCCAAACATTGTATTGTACATAATACATGTATTTAACAAACACAACTCTAACAATCACAACTTCCAAACGACCTCTACGATTATGTAGTTTAATTGTGTTAGACCTTACGCGGTCTAACCGTAAAAACTTAAATTTGCATCATAACATCTCTTTCCGAGTGGGCTGACTTGTCCGAACAACTGAACAAGGAAGGAAGGAGGGAGGGAAGAAGAGTGAATTTTTTTTTTTGATATTTTAGTAGAGAGAGATGTGTTGGGGCACTTGGCTAGATTAGATACAAGATAAGTAACAGATATATACAAATACAATAATAAAACATTGAGTAAGCGGAGAGAAACTTTGTTAAACTTGGAGCATAATAATACACTGAATCATTATTATGAGGCAAATAAATATTTTTTTTTTTTTGACAAAGGGAATACTTGCATTGCACTTTGAAAGATCGATTACAAGAGAACCAACACAGCAAACCAAAATCGGAACAAAGGACAGACAAAATCAAGCATATGGATCATCAATCTGTGCTTCAGAGATACAACAAGAAGAGCACAAAACACAGAAAGAGGATCCCAACAATGGATCTGAAACACTTGAACCAAAAGCAGTAAACATCGAAAGCTCTCTTGCAATCAAATCAACCAAAGTAGCACCAAGCGCGATCAGCTCGTCCGATCCGACCGAGTCCATGACGAATGAACACAATGTCATATGCCGCCTCCTGGGAGTCGCTCGAAGACGCTCAACACAGTGAATCTCGGGTGAGGGATTACATGGCGGTGAACAAGATTGAGGATCGAAATGCTCCGAGCTGAAGATGCAGGGGGGAAAACGAGGCATCAAGACTTGGTCAAGTGAAGAAGAAGAACCCAAATCCCCAGATCAAATATCCGAAACCACGAGCAGCAGGGCTAGACACCGCAATCCATCCTCCATAGCCCACCAAGATGCAGAACAAACCACCTGGGAAGAAAATGAAGGGGAAAACCAGTGAATCGATTCACCACACAAGCTGATAAATCCACCATCCAGAGGGAAAACCCAAGATGCATAACCCAGCCCCCAAGGAGAGCAAATCCCAGCAAAAAAAAAACCCAAGAACAGGGCAGCGAAATGCCAAAATGGCTGGAAAAACTGAATAGCTGGAAGCCTGGAATAAGAGAGTGAAAAACATGAAAACAAATACAAGGAAGCTGAAAATGGAAGCAGGCAGAAGGGGAAGGGGTCGGGCTACCGCCGGTCACACAGAGATGCCGGCGGCAGCCCTTGGAGATCTACCCTGCCGAGGAAAAGGTTAGAGAAGGATGAGAGGAAATTTTGAAATAAAGTAAGAGAGAGAAGGATTAATAAAGTGGGTAGGCAAATAAATATTAAGAGTGACGGAAAGGTGGGAACCGAGTTGGAACATTTGCCATGTCTTTTTAACCCCATGACAAGACGACTGCTAATTGCAAAAATAATGCAGGTGATTTAATAACAATTTTGACTTCATTAATTTTCCAAACTTGGATTATCCTTTTAGTAGGAACCACGGATGAGCTGAACCCTAAGTCGAAGAAAAGAGTGATAAAACTTCTCGAAGAGTTTCCTACTCTCCCCCGCACTAGTCATGTTCAATTTGAACGGAAAAATCACATAAATTGATGTCGTATTCTTTCTTTTTCGCAATCATCGGATTTTTACAGCATACAATACAATGTTGGCTTTAAAAGGCCAACTCAGTCGTGACAGTTCATTTTTAGCCCTCATGTCAGCCAGCCCAATGTCACGTCTTCATGGTATTCTGTCTCGCCTCGACCGAAGAACGCTACCTATCAAAACCTACACACCAAGCCATATATATTGAATCACATGTCGCCATAACTTATGCAACGATTCTAATTATTTAAAATTTACATAAATTTCGATAATAATTTTACATCAAATTGTAAGAATTAAAAACATATAATATAGTTATCATCATATATCACGGAGAAGAGGGAGTTGAAAGTTTGGAGCCACAGCAGTTTGACTTTAGCTTTTTTTTTTTAGTGTGTGTTTGCCATCTCATGGTACAAAAAGCTCAGCAGACACAAAAGTCATCTCCTTCCTCACTCCCATTGTCCTTGTCTCACCACTCTGCTTTCTTCTTCACTTTGGGATTAAATTAAACAAACATGGAGGGAACGCTTGAAACGCTCCTTAAATTTTGCAAGTAATGGCAGCAGCAAAGCATCGGTTGACTGACTGACTGCAAGGGGAAATTAGGGCGCGGGCCACAGCCATTACTCAAAAGAAGCAAAACTTGTTTATTGACAGCTAAATCTAACACAATTGTTATATTACCTGCAATTAATAAACAACCAAAAGGCAAGAAGAAGGTGTTTGGAGCTAGAGGCCCATTTCCCCTTGGGTGTAGGGCAGGGTGCAAAAGCTTGAAAAGAGGGGACCAGCCTCAAATGGGATATGCAGAAAACACACAATTAAGGATGGCCAACTCACGGGTAATCCATCCGATCCTAGCCGGTTAAACTCGATAAAATTTTAGTGTTTGACGAGTTTTGAATCGAGTATGTGATTTACCGCGCTTTTGAAATTGGTGAGTTGGAATCCAATTTGCTTTTCATCCGACCCACACCCCTTAAAGGAAAATGATGTCATTTTGTATCTAATATGGATGACCTGAATAATTTTATGAATGTTATTAGTCTTTTATGGCATTATGAAAATAATTCATGAATGTTAATAGTTTTTATGGAGATATATTTCTAGAGTTTTTTTATAGCATTACAATGTGCGTGTTGGAAGAAATAATATATGATTGTGTTCGTGAACCAATGGATACCCATGCACTCGAGAATACCTATTAAACTGGATTGAATTTTAACTTCTAAAACCCAAAAGATATATTATTGAGTTTTTTTAATGGGTGCATCTAGGGCTGGAAGTTTGGTACCGGTATTTGGAATATACCGAATACCGTACCAAATTTGTCTATATTTGGTATTACCGAATACACGTATTATTTCGTGGGATTGGGATTCGGATTGAGTTTCAATTGTTATTCTGTATTAGCGATTACGGGATTGGGATCGGTATATACCGAAATACCGATCAAGACCGAAATATAAGCTAGTGTGTATATTATCCTCTAAACTAGACTCTCTCATTCACTGCTACGCGACCCTCAACCACCAAGAGTATTATTTAATTATACATAGATCATTACATCACTATTTCACACTAGTCTTAGTCGTCTCTCAACCTCAAATTCATCAAATTAAAGATTACCAATTACAAAAACTTGAGATGTTAGCTCTAGGCAACTCAAGACTCTTTGCTTAGTCTTTTTTTTTTTTTTTTGACAAAAGATAATCTTATAAATGATCAAAACATAGTTACACCCTGGAGTTCAGCCAGGTCTGATAATCAAAATAACGGCTGCTAGCCGGGTACAAACTCAGGGCCTTTCTAGCCACCAAATGGGCTACCCTATTGACACGCCGACCAATAAACCGAACACTAAAACCTGGAGTCCTATCAAAATACTGAAGCACCTCTTCCAGCACAGTGCCGACCCTACCATCCCTATCCTCCGCCCGCCTGATCTTATCAATAACCACCTTGGCGTCCCCTTCAAATTGTACACAGGAGAGGCCCTGCCCTAGACACCAACGGACTGCTTCCCGCAATGCTAGCAATTCCACCACCAGAGGGTCATCAATGACTGGGAATTGGAACCCATTGGCCATCTGGATCTCTCGATTAGGGCCCATAAGCACCACACCCCCTGCTGAGTGCGATCCTCTTCTGGTAGCCCCATCCCACCCACAAATCAACCCCGGTACCCCTTCCTGAGTTGGAAAGTCGGTTTCTGGCACTACAGGGGCCATACCAGACGTATCCACCGGGAGGCGCACCCATTCCTCATACTGTTGTAAGAACTGACGCATCAGTGCCGCCACACTATACTGCTTGCCTTCAAACACCACCCAATTACGAGATCGCCAGATTCGCCAGAGGATGGCCACTACAGCCAGAAACAGCGTAGGCTGGTGAATGAGTGCCAACACCTTTTTCAGGAATAGCGGAAAAGAGCTCCGGGGTAACCCCTCGCCAATATGTTCTAGGTCCGCTGCTCCCCAGAGTTCACGGGCCACACGGCAATCCAGGAACAAATGCTCAAGGGACTCCGTCCCCTCCCAGCACACCGGGCAGCGAGGGTGAACCAGAATCCTTCTCTCCAACAATGCTTCAGTAGTCGGGAGGATTCGATTGAAAATTTGCCAGACAAACACTTTCAACTTCGGTGGAATGTTGGCCTCCCAAAGGCGGATCCAACTAGCCCTATCCATCAAGTCTGCCCTAGCTTTCCACCGCCCCCTTCTTCTGTCCAGGGTGACCGCCAAATGGTATGCAGATTTAACCGTAAAGACCCCATCCATCGTGTCATGCCAGATAAGCCTATCCTCCACATTCGCCCGTGGGAGAGGAATAGCCTTAATATTTCGACAGGTCGGCGGATCAAACCATTGACGAAGTTTAACATCACACCAGCGACCCTCCCCTTGACAAATCAGCTCCGAAACCAGGGGTTCCCCTCCTTCTGGCAAGACCCGGGGATTATACCGGAGGGGCTCAAATTGGTTCTGGGGTACCCAAGTAGAGTACAACATGGACACCGCACTACCATTCCCTATCTGCCACCGTAGCCCCATCTCTAGCAGGCTTCGCCCATGCAAAATACTCTGCCATCCCCAAGAGGGTCGAGAGCGAGCCTTTGCATTGAGGAAATGCCCATGGGGAAAATACTTCCCTTTGTATACTTGGGCAAGCAAGGATTGGGGCTCATTAAGGATGCGCCACCCAATCTTAGCCAGGAGGGCTTGATTAAAATGCTCAAACCGTCTGAACCCCATCCCCCCCTCGTGCTTACTCCGACACATGTCCCGCCAGGAGATCCATCGCATTCTGGTATGATCGTTACTATCCCCCCACCAGAACCGGGCCACATGTTTATCTAGGAGGCGGCACAGTGACAGCGGAAGGTTGAAACAGGACATTACGTGTAAGGGTAGAGCCATGGCTACCGATTTGATCAGGGTTTCTTTGGCCGCCCAAGATAACGTTCTTTGTTTCCATCCCTGGAGCCGCTCGAGTAGCTTCTCCTCCAAATATCTAAAGGTCTCCATTTTCGATCTTGCTATCAGAGACGGAAGCCCCAGGTACTTGTCATGGACCCCAACTGCCCCCACTCCCATAATCGAGGCCAGGAACTCCTGGTCTGGAGCAGAGACATTCCGACTGAAGCAGACCGCGGACTTGGCCAAATTCACCCTTTGACCACTCAACTCCTCATACTCATTCAAAACAACAATGAGGTTTTCACATTCTTCGAGGGTTCCACGCAGGAATAAATACGAGTCATCAGCAAAGAATAAATGCGAGATTCTCGGGGCCCTAGGGGCCACTTTAACTCCATTCAATCTCTTGTCTGAGACCGCCTTCTGAAGGAGAGCCGCAAACCCCTCCGTGCAAAGGACAAATAACAAGGGAGATAGGGGATCCCCCTGACGAAGCCCTCTGGAGGAAGTGAAATATCCTGCCGGGGTACCATTCATCATTACTGAAAATGACGTTGATCGTAGACACTCCTCGATCCATCCTCGCCAGACAGCATTAAATCCCATCTTTTCCAAAACCGTTAGAAGAAAAGTCCATTCAACTCTATCATAGGCCTTTTCCATGTCAACCTTTAGAGCCATGTACCCTTTCTTCCCCCGAGTCTTAGTTTTCAGGTAGTGCATTAGTTCATGTCCGAGGAGGATATTCTCTACAATTTGTCTCTCACGTATAAACGCATTCTGCCCTTCCGAGACAATGCTAGGTAGAACACAAGCCAACCGTTCAGCCAAAATTTTAGTTATCACTTTATACACAAATTGGCATAGGCTGATGGGTCTTAACTGTCTCATAGATTCGACATTATCCACTTTCGGGATCAAAGTAAGCCATGTGTGATTAAAACTGCGAAGCATCTTCCCCGTTGTAAAAAACGAGCAAACTGCGTCAATCACTGATGGTCCCACAATACCCCAAAAGGCTTTGAAGAATTTACCTGTAAACCCATCTGATCCCGGGGCCTGTTTAGAACCCATCGCAAACACCGTTTTTCGCACCTCCTCAGGGAGCACTGTTGCTGTTAGGGAATCATTCATACCCGGAGTAACCTTCTGGGCAATGGGCAAGGCGTACACACGATCTTTCATATTGGGGACCTGATCTTCTGACGTAAAGAGGTGGCGATAAAAATTTATTGCTACCTCCGCTTTACCCTTCTCCTCAATGATCCACTCCCCGCTCTCCGTTCGGAGACCCGCCACAAAGTTTCTCTTGCGACGGGTTCTCGTTACTGTGTGGAAGTAGGAGGTATTCTGGTCACCCTTCTTGAGCCAAAGCACCCGGGATTTTTGTTGCCAGTAGACCTCCTCTGCCTCCCATTGCCTATTAAGATCAAATTCCAGCTCATGAATCACAGCCCAGTTAATCGGGTGGATACCCTTGAGTCTTTCAATTTCAGCCTGAAGTGTACGGATATTCCGAAGCGAATTCGTGGTCCCAGCCCTACTCCAGTCATACAAAAGGTGACGGAGCCTTTTAAGCCGTTCCCAAAGGCGAAACATGGGCGTCCCTTCTATAGGCTCTTGCCATACGTAAGCCACCATAGCTTTGACCTCAGGATTATCTGCCCATCGAGCATCAAATCGGAATAGAGGGCGACTATGGCGAATGTACGGTTTATCTGATAACAGGAGAGCCCGATGATCGGAACCCAGATCAGTAAAATGTTTAACCAGAGTTTCCGGAAACCGGTCCTGCCACGCATGGGAGCAAAGAGCCCGATCCAGCCTCTCACGTACACAGGCCGCCCCCATTCTTTTGTTCGTCCAAGTAAAAGGGTCCCCCTGGTACCCTGGGTCAAAAAGACCCAAATCCTGAACAAAGTCCCGGAGTCTAAGGGATTGCACTGCACTCCATTGATTACCCCCATCTTTCTCACCCGCATGCAGAGTAGTGTTGAAATCCCCAATAATCACGAAGGGATCAAGGGTCTCATTACAGATACTCTGAAGTTGGTCTAATTGGGCAGTACGAATAGAAATGTCACAACTAATGTAAACGAAAAAAAACCACATAGGCAGAATTAATTTCATTAATGCGAACACCAATACAAAAACTTGAATGATAAAACACCGAAGCAATGACTTCGGGGGACCAAGCAACAACCAAACCGCCAGATGCCTCAACCGCATCGACGAAAAAACAACAAGAAGAAGTAAAACCCAAACCCCGCATACGACGGGCAACTACTCTCCGTCTCGATCGTGTTTCAGAAAAAAACACGAGATCCGGTTTATTAGAGTGCACTAAACTAAAAGCAGATTGAAATGTGAGGGCCGGTCCAATTCCTCTCACATTCCAGGCCAGAAGCCTCATTTAATCGGGTGGGGCCACTCTAGGCTGGCTACCTCCACCTTATCCATCTCTTCTTTTTCTTCCATGAACTGCTTCTTCGGGGTCGGTATATCAGCTATTTCACCAGTACTCTCATCACGGTGACGCTTTTTCATCCCCTTTTCCAGGTCAGGGATATTGGAGCCATACTCATTAATGCCCAGGGTCAGATTTGCGGGTGGTGGCTGGCGTTTTAATTCCCCAACCGGAGACCCCAAATCAGACATGGCCAGCCCCTTTTCAAAAGCCTGTACCACCTGGTTCACCCGATTAGACCGGGTCAACCGCCTCAGCGTGCCCTTATCCTCGGGAGCCCTTCGCCTAACTTCAAACTGGCAACTCTTCTCCTCCGAACTCGAGTCCTCCGACCCCCAGAGCTCCGGGGCAGGGGGCGAATTTTGTATAGCTTTTATCGCCACCAGAGCTTCCTTCCCCTTCTTTCTTTTAATCTCCATCTTTTCCTTCCTCTCTTGTTCACCAGCAGCATCCTTGGCTCGGTCCAGGCCTATCACAGGCACTGATTGTTGAGTGGCTTTCGTCTCCCTGGGATTCAATTCCCTAATGTCCACACTCCCACAATCCGGAGCGATCATCCGCAGCGGCATAGCATCCACCACAGTGGCATCCATCGGGCCGCGTTGCAACCCCCCATCCTCCTTCGCTTGGGTATCGCAGGTTGGGGAGGTGATTTCTCGGACAACGAATTCCTCCTCAGATTCGTCTTCGAGGATCAGCCGCCGGTGACGCGACATCCCGACCATTCCTGGTGCTGTCTCCATCTGGACAATCGGTTCCGCCGCCGTGTCCCAGCTTCGCGCAGTCCTCCGCCCGTTTCGCTTCCGACCTAGCTGCCCCTGGTCATCCTTCGCTACCCGTTTCGCACTGATGGGCCGGCCCACCACCCGCTGGGCTCTAGCAGGGCGATCCGCCAACGGGTTATGCGTAGGGTGAGCAGCCGTCAAACGGTCCACTGCAGCCCGCCCAGTGGCCGGGCCTTCCATCACCATAGGATCCGGCTTGGGCTCGTGGTTGGATTTCCCTCGGCGAGTGGGCCTGCCCAGTGCAATCTTTGGGCTCCTGGTGACACAGAACCCCACCGGGCTTTTACCCTTCTTAGTCTGGGCCTCGGTGGTGAGAAAGGGATCTAGTGAAGTCCCCATCCATTTTGGGCTTTCCATGCTAGCCCGAGTATTGTGAGTGGGCGCGTCAACCTGCATAGGCTGCTTTGTTCCAATCTCCTCACCCGGCCCATTCATTTGAGCAGCAGCATTGATCCACACCGACTTTTGGTGGCGCCTTGAGCCATTGCGCAACTCCTCTCCATCAAAGATTTTCCGTCCCATATTTTTCGTTGACATATGAGGACCAAACTTCTCATTTCTCGTTGGCGGATCGAAAGTACAGGTTTGGCGAGCATGTCCCACACGACCGCATTTGAAACAGAAGCTTGGTAGAAATTCGTACTTGAACCTAATCCAGAAGCCACCCATTTCATCATTTGTTGCCATAATTTGGGATCGAAGTGGTTTAGAAAAATCGATAAGCGCCTTCACTTTGATAAACTTTTGTGCCGTGTCCGAGCACGAGAAGACACCGGCTTCTAAGACGCGGCCAATCGTGGAGCTCACTATCTTGCGGCCAAATTGGTGGGTGCAACACTCCTCCTGCACGTTCCAGAGCTGAACGCGGAAGGGAGCGATTGCGAGTTCATCAAAGGTGCGCTGAGAAACCCGCGGGATCCAGGCCTGCAGATGGAGGACTCTATCCGCCACGATCCAGGGTGTTCGTTGTAGCACCCATGTTCGGGTTGCTTCGGACGGGAGGGTGAATTCCAGCAGGCCGTGTTTCAGCTCACGGACAATGATCCGCCCTTGCCCCTGCCACAGACGGTTGACCGCGTCCCGGATATCAGTGAGAGAGAGTCGGCTGCCCGAAAAGAGTCGGCCTATTAGCATTCTTGACTTATGCACTCGGGTCGCTTGAACCTCCTCTAATGAGAATTCCACTACTTGGTCACTGGAGATGCAGGTCATGGTGTTCACCTGTAGCAGGCACGGTTCAGAAACGTAGGAAACATTGAACTCCACCGGGTCCTTTACTGACCAGGGGAAGCTCCAGAGAAGTCCTCCGAGCATATACGTGGGGGTAAAATCCCACCAGCATTTAAAAGTGAGGAGTACAGGGGAAATCACCCACTCACCTGAGTATTCCTTTCATCTGCGCTTAGTTGAGCCGTACTGCCTTGCCACTCGAAGATCCAGCTGTTGAAATCTGGTTTTCGAATGGAAGGGGGGCTGGGCTAAATAGCCTTGCGCGGTTTGGGATTGTAACCGACGGGAGAGGCCTAATTGAATTAGGAGTCGCCGATTTCGATCACAGTATTCGATCCGATTGGGCAGTCCCGCAAGATTTTGGCGGATTTGGCGGTGGGCGGGCATATCCCCGTAGCGATGTAATCGGGTTGGGATATGTTTGATAGGAGTCCAATTCCCAGTAGGAGATCCCAGCCCCACCGGTCGCCGATCCCCACTCAAGTCAACCTCTCCGGACGGTCGGGAATCCATCCCGTCGACTCCCCGTTCACGAACTGTGTTCAATCCCCCAGACTTCGCCCCATCTCGGGGTCTGAATTCTGATTTGATCCTACCTCCTTTCACTTCACACAGATCAGAGATAGGACACGCTAATGACCCCTCCTGATTTACTGTATCAACTTCCTCCGGCGATGGGAGTCTGAACCTCCAAACCTGCAGATCGATCGACCTCGTCCCATATCGGGATCTGAATTCAGTCGAAACATGATCCTTATTCCTCTTCCCAAACTTTGCAGGATCACTCCCCTTCTTTGCAGGGGGGTCCCAATCTAATTCATCGGGAGAGGGGATGACGAAACGCCATCCCTGATTTCTATTGTGGTGAAATCTTCCTTTTTTCACCTGTCGATGGTCGAGCTCAGTTGGGTCTCTGTCCGGGATCCTTTTCCGTTTTCTACTCCCTTGGACCACTTCGCCCTTCCTCCCCCTAGCGCCTCTGCGGTTTATTGGACTTGGCTTGACACCATTCCGGCACCGGCGCATGGGGCTCGCCACTGAACTTATCGCACAAAGCGTTTGATCGTCTTCCTGATCAGGTCGGGCGTGTATACCAACCTTGAGACCTTGGTTGGTTAGCGCCACCTTTAGAATAAGCGCAATCGTCCGAGCAATAAACCAATCCGCCGTCGTGAGCAGGCCTTTGATCGTCGACCAACCCACTGCTATGAGAGAGGAGAGAGCTCCTCGCTCCATTGAATTATTTGTTACGATAGTCTAACTCCTCTTTGCTTAGTCTCTTTGCCCTAAATTAAACAATAAAATCTAATTTTTATATTTTAATTATTAATTGCAAAGGTAATCAATTTTGTATTTGATAATACCGATTGGGATACCGAGGTACCGATTGGGATACCGAAATATTTAGGGATTGGAATTGGGATACCGAAATAATTTAGGGATTGGGATTGATTTCAGGATGTAATTCGATATTCGATATTTTGGTATTTGGTATTGGGATACCGATATCGTACCGATTTCCACCCCTAGTTACATCCACTGTGTTGAATTGAGTTTAAAGAAACTCAGCTCAACCCTACCCATTATCATCCCTACACACATTTCATTATTGCCAAAAATGAAAGGCACATTGATTGTGGTCACATTATTAGTAGAAGAGATGATCAACCTGCCCAACTTCAAACTTTACCTTTAACTACACATACATCATTATCATTATCAGGCCCTCCAATCAGAAATGAGATGCAACTAGTAGCCACTTGCCAATATTATGCCACCCTTTTGTTGGGTTGGAATTGGGAAAATGGGGAAACAAAAAGTGGTTGGACAAATGGACTTGCTATGCAGAATTGAGTTTACCACCCAACTACACCAGCAGTAGTCAGTCAGTTGCCATCCCAGATGATGAAGAAGTTATTGTTTTGGCTCAGTTAAGGTGTGGAGTTGACAATTTATGGATGAGGTAGAACTACAAGTTTGGTATCGGTATTTGGGATATACTGAATATCGTATCGAATTTGTCTATATTTGGTATTACCGAATACACGTATTATTTTGTGGGATTGGGATTGGGATTGAATTTCAATTGTTATTCGGTATTAGGGATTACGGGATTGGGATCGATATATACCGAAAGACCGATCAATACCGAAATATAAGCTAGTGTATATTTTATCCTCTCAACTAGACTCACTCATTCACTACTACGTGACCATCAACCACCCAAAGTGTCATTTAATTATACATAGATCATTACATCACTATTTCACACTAGTATTATTCGTCTCTCAACCTCAAATTTGTCAAACTAAAGATTACCAATTACAAGAATTTGAGATGTTAGCTCTAAGCAACTCAAGACTATTTGCTTAGTCTCTTTGCCCTAAATTAAACAATAAAATCTAATTTATATATTTAATTATTAATTGCAAAGTTAATTAATTATGTATTCGATAATACCGATTGGGATACCGAGATACCGATTGGGATACCAAAATTATTTAGGGATTGGGATTGGGATACCGAAATTATTTAGGGATTGGGATTGTGATTGATTTTAGGGTGTAATTCGGTATTCGGGATTTCAATATTTGGTATTGGGATACCGATACCGTACCAATTTCCACCCCTAGGTAGAACAATATAATAGAATCGAGATGATTCTGGGTGATCTAATCAGAAAACATATTAACCAATTCTACGACGGAAGGATTGTAAAATTTTATCGGAGGCTGTATAACCCTAAAACCAGCCTACTTATTTAAACTCGGATAGAAAAAAAATTCGGTCGGGCTATCGATACGATACAGTTTTACAAATACTGCTAAAAAAATTATCCTCTTTATAGATGTTAAAGATCTGCTATATCCAATCTCATTAAAAAAAATGTGAAATTGTAGAACAAGACTGGCAATGGGATTCTGATGAATAGGCTTGTTGCCCTTGGAAATGGTCATACTTTTTCTTGAGAGCAAAGGAACATTGGATTGCCGTAAGAATCAAACTTGATAAGAAGAATAACAAACACCTCAAGGTTGTTTAATAAATGGTTCCCAGAGTCAAATTCAAAGGGACATTTGCATGTGCCAAGGCGGTTTGAATGTATGTGTTAATATATTTGCTTGGCACTTTATTTCTTTTCTTCATTCACTTTACTACACTCTCCACGTCTAGCGATGTCAATGGAACGAAGCGGGTACATCTCAAAATCTATATAAGTCATGGATTGAGACATTGCGTAATATTCGTGTGGCTACGAAACGGAGTGAATCGATTTATTGAGAAAATATTGAGAAATTTTTTCATAAATGAATGAAAATATAATAAAAGAAATAATTGAGTCGAAATAATAGAACGATGTAGTCATAAAATTTCTTTGAATGAAAATATGAGTTTAGAAAAATCAAAAGAGAAAACATATAGATAGATATTAAGGCAAATTATTAAAAAAAACGAATCGAGAACAGGACAGGGCAAGACGAGTGAGAAGCAGTACTGACGTCCCACCTCACAATACTCTAAATCGAGTAATACCCGTCCAAATGTATCTAGACATATCGGGTTGCGCGTTGGGGTGGGCATTCGGTCGGTTCGGTTTCGACAGAACCGAAATTATGAATACCGGGTCCCCGAATTCTCCCAAACCCAAATTCAAACCGAATTATAATTCGGTTTGGTCGGTTTAAACCGAACTATAATTCGGTTCGGTTCCGTTTTTCACACAAAACCGAATTTGTGAAGCTACTTGTATTTTCTCACTTTTAAATTATTTTTCACCCCTAATATAAACAATAAATATCAATTATATGCATCATCAATGATAAAACCAAACTTTTCAACACATAAGTCATAAAACATTTCAAATATTTAAGTCTAAAAACAACTACAAACATAAAAATCCACCATTTGGAGCTTGCAATTATAATATTTCGGTTTTTCGGTCGAAAATTCAGTTCGATTGAAAGAACCCTGATTTCCGATCTATCCATATTTTCCTTCCAATTCCGAACCGAATAGCATTAATTTGATTTCGGTTCGGTTTAATTCGGTTTCAGTTCGGGTTTACCGAACCGTTTGCCCACCCCTAGTTGCGTGAGCCAGGTTGCCATCACTATCCACGCCACAGTAATGTTTTGACAATTACCGTTCCCACAACTACATCTGCAGTGCAAAGGGACCACTTAGTTACATACTTATTAGCCTTCACTGGCACTAGATTGGAATGAGCTGGCGAATAGCGAGAGTGTAAGAAAACCCAACACCGTCATTTGGAATTTTGGATCATTACTCATTCCTGTACTAACTTCATTATCACTCATGACTACTTCAAGTAATAAAGGTTTCCAGTAACTATTCTTGCTTTCATTAACGCAAACAGCAAAAAAAAGACCAATCTGAAGAATAGTGCCCCTATCGACTTATAGTTCCATGCTATCAAATTGAAGAATCATTACAAGGACCAAAAGAACAAAAACCATAAAAAAGAGGGATATGGTGGGTGGAACTTCATTTCCTGCTACAAAATGTAAAACCTGTCTTTGCTACTCACAGCACTATGGCCTTCTTACTTACTTCTTCACTTCCTCCCCATACGCTGGAGCCTTCTGCTCGAAAAATATTTTCAGTGTTGGAGTTACTGAGAAGGGGCTTGTCCCTCCTCCTACTACTCTGTGTCTCTAAGGCTCTCACTGGTCAGCCACAGCTTCTTTTGGACGATGAAGACAACCTCTTCACCATCCTGGTCCTGTTCAGTGCCGGAGGAGTCTACTGCTTCCCAGTGCAGCGCAACCATATACTTCTTCACGTAATCTATCACCGATTGCCTGTCGCGTATGATAATGAAACCACTGGGCCTTATCACACGATCCATCTCCAACAGAAGATCTTCCACACTGCATCCCTTCTTCTCAATGTCAGAGAACACGGTCCAAGCATGAAGCAAATCGTATGTCCGAGGATATGTCGAGAAGGCTTCGCACCTGTCAAACGGACATGTTGGAAGATATTCAGTGGGCGGTATTTGTACAAATCACACGATCACTATGGACTAAATGTTTGTGATTCGATGCATTTGTAAATAAATGTTACTTATCTCAATTGCATGCTATTTAATTTCAATGCTGACAAATATATCTAAAGCGTCAAAGGAAACAAACGCAATTGTTCAATTGTATATATGACCCTCGCCAATACACCCAACCCGAAGACCTTATAATAAAGGAAATTAGAAGCGTAGTGAAAAAAGAGAATGCCCCCTGAAATTAAAGTCGATTGTTACGTACCAGCTGTGGATAGTGCCTATCAGCCCCCTGTCGTATACCACCTTCAATGTATTTGGTCCATCTTCTGGGACAACGTTCATAACCCATACGTCCTTGTTCTTAAGAAGTGCAGCAGCAAAAGACCCCAAGTTTGCTTTCATGTCCATCACATTCCTTATGGTATCTGACTGGATCTTTGGGCTCAAGATATTCAAGTAGTTATCCACCCTCTTCCTCCAGAGTTCCTACAAAACATTACTCATGTTTAATGATAGCTTGTTGTCATACTCAAGCCTATTAGTTTGAGGGGAAAACAAACTGCAACATTTCTAAGATGGATGCTTCAGGTACATACCACGTCCTTTTCAAACATATCATTCGAATAGCCAAAATCAGCAAGTCTTGGCGGAGGGCTAGTCAATCTAGCTGGCCAAGGAGCTAGTCCGCTGCCCTTGACCCTGTGGTCGTCTGATAGATAATAATACAATCCCATGGTTAGCTTAATGCTACAGAAAAACTATGTTAAAGATCTCAGCAAATGCACAAGGGAAGAGAGCATTGGTAGGAAAGGAACGCACGCTCAGAGTAAGGTGAAATGCAAGCTTCCATTTGCACGCCCCAAACTGCATCAGGGTCATCATCAGAACGACAGAGAGGGGGTTGGGTACCAGGTTCTCTTTGCATGTAACAATCATTTGTTAGAGGTTTCTGCCAAATAACCGTTTGGTTTCTCTTTGCAGCTATTCTCCAGCACATTCTTTCGACAAGGGCACTCATTTCTTTCCATATTCTTAGATCTTCTTCATCTTGTGCGTACGCCTCAGGTGATGAATATGCAAAATAACCTCCTGGTCTAAGTACCCGATCGAGCTCAAGAAGAAGAATACCATCCCTCTGAAGCCAATCTATTCTACAACGGGAACAATGGGAGAACTCGAAAGATCGGCTCGGATAAGGGAGCCTCTTGGTCCCAAGAACACCCAAATAGGCAGGAATACCTCTCTCTAGGGCGAACTGTATTTGATTTTGATGAACATCATTTGGAGCCAAGGACATCGTGATCATATCGGATGATAAGAGGTAACCCCCAAAACTGGCAACTCCGCAGCCAACATCCAGAACAGTTCTTACATTTCCATCATTATTGAGTACATTATTGGAGAAGTTTAACATCTGCCAAATTGAAAAACAGAAGAGTAAGTGTTAAAAGTATGAATGACGATCATCAGAAAACATGTGGAAAAAAAAGAACATAATCAATCCAAAAATGCAGACCAATTTTGTAGGATACATTAAGCAAAATGTATTAGAATATTTGCTTAGGGTTTAAGGAATAAGCAAGAATCAGCAATCTTACATTTGCAATAGAAGCAATATACTTGTCAGCTCCATAGTGGAAATGAGTACCTCCGCCAGGAAATACTATCTTATCGCCTTTTACAACCATCCAGTTCTGATCAGACTTTTCATGTGCAAGATGGGTATGAGGAATGTTCGCTTTCCACACTTCATCCCTACTTTTTGGCCACTTGATGGGGATCTGCAGCATTGCCAGGTATAATGAGTAATGATAAAGCTTTCATTTACTACATCTGAAGTTGGAAAGACATTCACAACAGAGTAAATATATCTAGAAACATTTAGACTTCAAGGCTTAAGCAGTTCTCACCTTGTACCCTGGTGGAGGAGGAATCAAGCAATTGAACCTCCTTTCAGCAGGAGGGCAATGACGCTCATAATGCTCCATTACAGACAAGTCCAGCTTCAGTCTCATCTGATATATAAGATTCCTGTCTAAGCATGGAATCAGTTCTGAATGCCGGTCATCACAAACCTTCAAAAGCCAGCATAAGTTGAATGAGAGACATATACTACAAGAAGTAAGATGCCAACAGCAAGAACTATAAATAAATAGTAAATGATCTGAAGACAAAGCCAGCAAGAAAGTGCAAAAGCCAAAATCTTAATTAGCAGTGGAAGCCCTTACCGGGAAGCTTTTCGGGACACTATCATCCTCTCCTTCTTCTAGGCCAAATTTCGTTCCATCCTCTTTGTCCGACTCATCATCCCCGCCAAGATAAGACGAGCCCAGTTTCCGCAAGGATTTGCTTCCATATTCTAGAGCAGATGCCCCACGGCCTTGAGAACCAAATACGGATCCATAGTAGAAGTATATAAATCCAAGGAAGACAGCTATAACACAGACAGACGTTATCAAACGCTTCTTCTGTGCACCATCTGGTCTTCCTCTCATTGTTATACCTACTTAATGAGATCTTCAATCTAGCTGACTCTGTTGACTATTTGTTAGGTCACTCAGATCATAATGCAGATCTTACTGGTCTGAAGCTGTTAGGTTCAAATCAGTATCCCAATAAACTGGGGTAAACTTATATTTAGCAGACCCTGCAGCAAGACCTGTGATAAAGAAGAACCAAAAGAAAAACAGAATTGTAAACATTAAGGAAGCTGATCGCACTAAAAAAAAAAAAAGAAAAAAAAAGCAAAGAAGCCAAGTGAGGGAAGGAAGAAGCATTTGCAGACATATGTCAACTATAGAGCTCATAATAAACAAATGAAAGCTTCCGGCTTAGCCATCTAGCAGAACATAAATTAAATTATTAGCATAAGTATGACGACTAAGTATCAACACAAAAGTACAACTTGTATCCCAAGACTGAGATCCGTGGCTCTCATCACAAAACCAATGAAGCAATGTGCGGTCGATAAGCAATGGAGGGAGACTTACTGCGCACAAAACTTAACTACCCCAATTCGATACAGGAAAATTAACACACAGACAGAGCAAGCAATTAATTAAAACACTGATCCAGCCAATTCAGTAATAAGAACACCAAAAAATGGCAAACATGTTTTCACAGGGGAATTGATTAAAACCCAGGGGTGGCCTGGCAATCAAGAACTTCACACACACGAAGAAAGGACAATGGCATCTTTAATAGCCAATCAAAGACGAAGTAAAGCGTCTTTAGATCTGAACCAGAAGAAAGCTCATTACTCATACTCGCATTGAAACCACCAAATCCCCCAATTCCCACAACCTTAAATACGAAAGCGAATCCAACCCATGATTAGAACCAAACCCAGATGGGAATTTCTCAAATCAGATCCGCGACACACGAGTCTACTCCGGATTCCAATTAAATGAAACAATAGGTGGCTAAAACAAGAAGGAAAGCTTGGAGCTTACTGGGAATGAAGGAACGAATCAGCAACGAGAAAGAGCAGCCCAGAGGAGATCTGGGTCAGGCGCTCGCTCTATTGTGTAACAAGAAGGAACATAAAAAGAGAGAGGGCGAGGGAGTGTGTGGGTGTAGGTGTGAGAATAGATCTCAGAGGTTGAGGATGGGTTTTCTATTTGCGTGGGAGAGGCGAGAGTGAGAGTGATATAATAATTAGCAGGATGGAAAGGGAGGTGAGGGTCTGAGGGAAGGTCCAGGTCGTTAACGTTTATTTCCGTGTCTGTCAACAACCCAAAAAAATAAAAAGATAGAGAAAAAAAGGAAGATATTCGGTGATTAATTTAACAATGGCGACGGAGTGTTAATAGGACTTAGTTGTTGCTCGGAGGAGGAGGAGGGAGGGTGACGTCCATTTCGTCCGTAGTCGGCTGAAATCTCCAGCTTCACATCCAATCCAAGTGGGTTCTCTTAGGACTTGTCATGTTCGTTCTAATTGGTATTTGAAGGGTTAAGATGTATAACTGTCTCGTCTCATTTTTGTCTCTTGTTTGACCCTGTCTGACCTTTAAGGGGTCATTTGGATGCAGGTTTTTAATTTGTGGGATTTGTGTGGAATTTTAAAATAGCTGATGACCATCAGCTATTTTACAATCCCACAATTGTGGGTTTTTGAAATCTCTAATATTTAAAATCTCCTATCATATAATTACTTTCCAAATGAGTGATTTTAACACTATGTGGGATTGTGCCCAAATCCCACACCCAAAACCTGCATCCAAATGACCCCTAAGGAATGAGACGGGTCGAGACAGGTCAAGTCAGTGGGTCGGCCCTAATTTACACACTAGACTCAACTTTTTTTTATAAATTATGTTTTGGTACTCAAAATTATTTTTTCTTACAATTTAGTACCTAATTTTTCTTTTACAAATGAGTCCTTAAATTTTGATGGTAAAATCACATTTTGGTCCAAAACTTTTTATTTTTGCAATTTAGTACCTAAACTTTGAAATTTTTTACAAAGAGGTCCAATGTGGTATGGGATATGTGGTAAGTGACGTGTCCTTAAGTTGTCCCGACCCGTCCCGACCTTTATAAGGTCGGGACGGGTCAGTGTGTTTGTAAGGACAAACTTACATCCCTATGTTCTGTCGGTGGGATTTCGCTTTACGTTAAAATATAATTCCTCGTCCTCTACCACAAGTCTTTGTGCCTCACTAATCCCGCCGTAAAAAGTCGTGATTAATTCATTCCCTTTCTGTTTTCCGGCGAGAAAACTTGCGTTGAATTGAGATTGATTGCAACTTTGACTTTTTTGGACAACGATTACTAAGACACAACTTAAACCTCTTCAAACAAAGTTCGAACGAGGGTGTTTGATTGATGGTTTTGGGAATGAAAACTAAATTAAGTTACTCCAACTCCTATGGAGGTTCGGCGAGAGCTCCAAACTACGACTATGACTACATTTGCAGAGAAAGATAAAAATAATTTGTGTGGTTTTGGGCCTAAAATCAATATCCATAAGGCCCAACTTAAACAACATGAATTGTTACAATTAATATGACCTTATAAACTCATTGATTATCTTGTAACTCACCAATGTGGTACAAAATAATTTTATGGTGTAAACAAATGCCTCCAACTACTTAGTGCATAAGAATTATGGACTAAATAGTTGAACCTACTTTATATCTCAACTTAAAAATTCGCCTAAATTGTAAGTTTGGTCACATGAATTACTAGTAAAATTCACGTTAGCCACTAGAATTACTTTATTTCATTTGTAGTCACTTAAATTAGGTTAATAGTCCAAGTTTGGTCACTGGCTGTTAGTCTCAGTTAACTTGTGCTGATGTGACGGTCAACTCTAATAGTTGATGATAATCGGCTTTACATATTGAATTCTAGTGCCATGAGTTTGATATGTTGCAGGTGGAGATTGGGTCGAGCTTCCCTGGGGACCGAATAATTGGAGCAGGCTGCAGGGAGTTGAACGGCAGCAATATTTTTGGGCTTGGATTGGCCCACGGAATTAAATGGGGCACGAGCAGCTCGGAGGGGAATTACAGGGCCGAAGTTCTAGTAGTAGAATAAGTTGGACACGAAAATTGGACCCGGGGAAGGATTTGGACGGAACGAATTGCGGGAGGAAAGTAATTTTGGGCTTGAAGGGGGTTTATGGGCGGCAGGCAATTAAAGAAGAGGAGAAGAATTATATGGGGACGTAACAAAAGGATTGGATTGAGGGGGACTGGAATTTGATGCGGCCCATTTTTTGATAAAGGAAGAAAGGAGGCGGAACAAATAAAGGGAAACGGAATTAGTGAGGAGGGAAGGAGCAATTATTGTAGAGGGGGAATTCTTTGGCGAGAAGGAAAATAGAAAGGCAGCGAGTAGCGAGAGGCAATTACAGGCAGAGCAGCGTATCGAGCAACCATCGGCGATCGAGTTTTCCAAGGCTTGAGCTGAGTTCAACGAGAACGATTAGTTGGTTGGATTTTCTGAACCAAATTAGTTGTTATTTGTTGATTTAGAACATGATGAACAAAACCCTATCGTTTTATCTTAATTTCGTCATGAACTAAACCCCAATTTCTGAGGGAAACACCATAGGATGTAGCTATTTCTTTATTTGATGGATTGATTCATGATTCTTTTCTTCCAATCTCTATTGCATGAAATTTCTTAATGCTTTGTGTTGACTGGCCACCAATACAACGATTTGTAGTTAATTAGGTTATTTGCGACAGTGAAACCCTAATAACTGAACATATTTCATGTGACATAGTAACTTATCGAAGCGACAGTGGATTAAATAAAGTGCTATGCGGTCTTAAATAGGATATCGATCTTCAGACTATATAGTTAATTCATTGAGCTACGACAGTAGGATTTGGATTGATTATTTAGTACGTAGTAATTCCCGACAGGGATAGCTAGCACATTCGTGATATCCTGGCTGTAGAGGTATGGATTAAATTGATTGGAATATGTGAATTAATCTGGATAGGATAGGTAGTGAATCCCAGTGTTTCTCCCAGAGCTTTCTCCCATTGAATTAAACCCGACATTTTAATTTGCTTGTTTTGTTTAATTACTTTGCTAGTAGATCATAGTTTCATCTCATTAAACATTTTCCCATATAGTTTGCTCAATAAAAATTGAGAGAACTTAAGGTTGTACCAGTCCCTGAGAGACGATACCCGGACTTTCCGGATTACTACAAGATAGGAATTGGCATATACGCTTTTGACCTATCAAGTTTTTGGCGCCGTTGCAGGGGACTGCCATACCTTATTTTTATTGATTTTTGTGAGTGAACTATTTTGATCTGGGTGTTAGTGTGCAGGTGAATTTTTCAGGTTTATCCTCCTCGTGCATGCCAAGGAGGACGACTGGCAATTTACTGCCACTAGATCCCGAGATCGAGAAGACCTGCCGACAGAACAGGAAGCAGGTCAAGTTAGGGAAGCAACCTACCACATCCACAACTCCTAGGCCTTCCCTAACTCAGAATCGTCAACCGAGAAGGCAGGTGTCACCACCTGTCATCCCTACACCACCTACACCACCGCCGCGCGTCATGGAGCCTATCATCATGGCAGAACAGGATCGTTCGATCAGGGCTCGTCTGAATCGGAGGACTGGAGCCCGAGCTTTATGTGTTGTCATTCCGGCTGGGGATGCAAACATGGAGATTACCCCAGCCTTCATCAATATGATCACTAATGGGTAGACCTTCTCAGGGGCCAGCATCGAGATCCTCATGAACATCTTCGCCGGTTCGCAAGCATTTGTGATACGATGAAGAGCCCGACTGTGTCTGATGATGCCATCCGTCTTCGGATGTTCTCATTTTCTCTGCTAGGGAAAGCATCACACTGGTTCCAGAACTTGACACCCCGTTCCATCACAACATGGGGTTAGCTTGAGAAGACCTTTTTGGATAAGTACTTTCCTCCTGCCAAGGCAATGAAGAGGCAAGAGGAAATTGTCACTTTTAAACAAGTTGAGGATGAAAGTCTGACCGAGGCATGTGAGCGCTATTAGGAGCTTCTAATGAGATGCCCGAGCCACGGTCTTGAAGATTGGAACGTGATCTCCATTTTCTTCAACGGAATCAGAAGACAATATCGAGATGCTCTGAATAATGCTTCCCGGAATGGTTTCACAAGAATGGAAGCACCAGAAGCATATGAACTGGTGGAGAAGATATGCTCTGAAGATACTGAATGGGGTAGTGAGACCGGCATTCGAAGGAGAGGAGGCTTGCATGAGATAGACAGAGTTGAAGTTTAGAAGCAAAGATTGATGCTAAGTTGGATTCCAAGTTCGATGCACTCGAACAAAGGCTGGCTAAGTTGGCTCTTGGTAGACAAGAGGAGGTTGCTTATTGCGAATTATGTGAAGGTGCTCATCATAGGGATCTATGTCCACTGGTGGCTGACAGATGGAAGATGTGCACTATATCAACAATCAACGAAATCAAGGCCAGGATGGTATGTATTCGAATACCTACAACCCACAATGGAGGAAACATCCTAACTTTTCCTGGGTGAACAACAACCCAACTGGTGCTCGCAACATTCCACCTCCAGGCATGCAGAAACAACAACCTCCACCTCAACCAGAGAAGAAACCACAACTTGAAGAATTGCTTCTGGCTCACATGCAGAAAACCGACAATAATCTGAAGGGTCTGGATCAGTTTGTCACTCAACAGCTAGCCATCAACAATAATTTACAATCTTCTATGCTAGCTATGGAGAGGCAGATGGGACAGATGGCTCAAACCTTGGCGGATATGCAGGGCAGGATTCATGGGACATTACCGGCTAATACCGAGAGGAATCCAAAAGATGCTAAAGTTGTGGCAGTGACATTGAGGAGTGGAAAGGCCTTGGAAGACCCTAGCAGCTCGAAAAAGGCACTAGAGGCAGAAGAGGAAGCACCGGGAGAAAGATCTTGTGCAGAAAATGAAGAATCAGCCTTGCACAGGCAAAATGAAAGCGGTTTGCCTGTGCAAAAGCATGATGCCTGTGCAAAATCAGAAGAGGAAAAAACAAAGAGGGAGGAGCTAAAACCTTATGACCCACCCGCACCATTCCCTCAAAGGTTGATGAAGCCCCTGGAGGACCCGAACTTCAAAAAATTTGTGAATCTCTTCAAGCAATTGCACATCAACATTCCGCTAGCTGAAGCTCTTGAGCAAATGCCCACATATGCCAAATTTCTTAAAGAATTGTTGACAAAGAAGAGAAAATGGACTAATTTTAAGAAAGTAACACTCACACCAGAGTGTAGTGCTGTTATCCAAAATAAATAGCCAGAGAAGAGGGAAGATCCAGGGAGCTTCACCATCCCATGTATTGTTGGTGAGAGAGAGTTTACAAAGTCGCTTTGTGATCTTGGAGCCGCCATAAACCTCATGCCATATTTTGTTTATAAGAAGCTGGGACTCCAAGATGTGATCAAGCCGACTCGAATTACTCTACAACTGGCTGATCGATCAGTACAGGTCCCCAAAGGCGTGGTGGACGTGCTAGTGAAGGTGGGAAAGTTCATCTTCCCCGCCGACTTCGTCATTCTGGAGATGGAGGAGGACAGGGAAGTACCTCTCATTCTTGGGAGAACCTTCCTAGCGACGGGGGGTGCTCTCATAGATTCCAAAAAGGCGAGCTGACATTCAGAGTCTGTGGGGAAGAGGTAAAATTCAATGTATACCATACAAGTAAGTACCCTAATGACTCTAGTGATGTGTTTGCGGTGGATGTCATAGAATCATGCACTGATGCTATTTTGAACAATCATTATGATGCTGATTCTGAGTTTGATGATTCTGATAATGAACTTGATGAGCTAACCATGTCAAAGAGGGCACAATTGCTCGAAGCATTGCCTATGCAGGTGGAAGGTGATGAAAAGGCTATGTTTCCAAAGAAAATAGTTCCATCTCGGATCCAGCCTCCGTAATTGGAACTAAAACCATTGCCTAGTCACCTTAAGTATGCATATCTGGGGGAAAACTCCACTTGACCTGTGATTATTTCTGCTACACTGACTGATTCGCAGGAACAGGAGCTCTTGAAGGTCTTACGCCAGCACATACAGGCTTTAGGTTGGACTATTGCCGACATCAAGGGCATTAGTCCAGCATTTTGTATGCATAAGATCCTTCTAGAGGAGGACTCAAAGCCCTCAATTCAGGCACAACGGAGACTAAACCCGCACATGAAAGAAGTAGTGCATAAGGAGGTAATGAAGCTATTGGATGCAGGTATTATTTACCCTATCTCTGATAGTACTTGGGTTAGTCCCGTGCATGTGGTCCCTAAAAAGGGAGGAATGACAGTAGTGAGAAACGATAAGGATGAGGATGAGATGATATCTACCCGAACTGTTACGGGCTGGAGAGTGTGTATAGATTATAGGAAGTTGAATGAGGCACCCTAAAGGATCACTTCCCTCACTACTGCTTCCTAGATGGTTACTCCGGTTATTTTCAGATCCCAGTAGCACCGGAGGATCAAGAGAAAACTGTTTTTACATGTCCTTTTGGTGTTTTTGCATATCGTAGAATGCCTTTTGGATTATTCAATGCACCAGCAACCTTTCAGTGGTGCATGACTGCCATATTCTCTGACATGTTAGAATCGAGTCTTGAAGTTTTCATGGATGACTTCTCGACTTTTGGTACTAGCTTTGAACATTGCTTGGCTAACTTGTCTAGAGTTTTGCAGAGATGTGAAGAGACTAATCTAGTCTTGAACTGGGAAAAATGTCACTTCATGGTGACAGAAGGTATGGTGCTTGGTCATCAAATTTCGGCGAGGGGGATAGAAGTTGATAAAGCTAAGATTGAAATCATTGAAAAACTTCCCCCTCCCAGCACAATCAAAGGAATTAGAAGTTTTTTTAGGTCATGCCGGTTTTTGTCGGAGATTTATTAAAGACTTCTCAAAGATTACCAAGCCTTTATGTGATTTGTTGGCCAAAGATACTATGTTTAACTTCTCTGATGAGTGTTTGCAGGCCTTCAATCGACTTAAGAAGGAGTTAACCTTTGCCCCCATTATCACTGCACCCAACTGGACTTTACCATTTGAAATTATGTGCGATGCTAGCGACTATGCAGTCGGGGCAGTTTTGGGGCAGAGGAAGGCAAGGTAAGTTGCACGCGGTGTACTATGCAAGTAAGCTTCTTAATGATGCACAATTGAACTATTCCACTACTGAAAAGAACTGCTTGTTGTGGTGTTTGCTTTTGATAAATTTCGATCTTATTTGATGGGATCGAAAACAGTTGTGTACACTGACCATGCAGCTATAAGGCATCTTCTTTCAAAGAAGGAGGCCAAGCCGAGATTGCTTCGTTGGGTTCTTCTTTTGCAGGAATTCGACGTTGAAATTCGGGACAAGAAAGGTTCGGCTAATCTGGTAGCCGATCACCTTTCTAGACTTGAGCTTGAGGCCATTCCTAAGGACAAGGTTGAGATCAATGAGTCTTTTCCAGACGAGCAGCTTTATGCTCTCCTTGTCCAACAAGCTCCCTGGTATGCAGATCTTGCGAACTATCTCGCCACAGGTAAGCTCCCTGATTTGTCTTATCAACAACGCAAGAAGTTGATTACTATTGCCAAGAATTATATATGGGAAGACCCCTTCCTGTATAAGCATTGCGCTGATACCATGGTAAGACGATGTATCCCTGAATGTGAGGTAAAGTCAGTGCTAAATTTCTGTCATAGTATGGCCGCAGGAGGCCACTTTGGACCTCATAGGACAGCAGCAAAGGTGTTACAATCTGGATTTTATTGGCCTTCTCTATTTCGAGATGCCCGTGATTTTGTTGCTCAATGTGATAGGTGCCAAAGAACAGGGAACATATCTGCAAGGATGGAGATGCCGCAGACCTCGATTTTGGAGGTAGAGATGTTTGATGTATGGGGAGTGGATTTCATGGGGCCATTCCCACCGTCTTTCAACAACAAATATATCTTAGTCGCAGTCGACTATGTATCCAAGTGGGTGGAGGCAGTGGCGTTGCCCACCAATGACTCAAAGACGGTGGTGAATTTCATGAGGAAGAACGTGTTCACCAGATTCGGAGTCCCTCGAGTTCTCATCAGTGACGAGGGGACACACTTCATGGGAAAGGAGTTGAACACGTTGCTGGCCAGATATGGGGTTAAGCATCGAGTTGCTACACCCTATCATCCACAAACCAGTGGGCAAGTGGAAGTTTCCAACAGAGAACTGAAACACATTCTGGATACGACGGTGAATTCAACAAGGAAAGATTGGGCAAGGAAGTTAGATGATGCACTCTGGGCTTACCGGACTGCGTTCAAGACTCCTTTAGGCATGTCTCCGTACAGATTGGTGTTTGGAAAAGCTTGTCACTTGCCCGTCGAGCTCGAGCATAAGGCGTATTGGGCTATCAAGAAGCTGAACTTTGATCTAAAAACTGCTGGAGAGAAGCGCCTGTTGCAACTGAATGAGCTCGACGAGATTAGGCTTAATGCCTATGAAAATGCCCGGATTTATAAGGAGAAAACCAAGAAGTGACACGATCACCACATACTGAGAAGAGAGTTCAAGGTGGGAGAGAAGGTATTACTTTTCAACTCACGCCTTAAACTCTTCCCTGGAAAATTAAAGTCAAGGTGGTCCGGATCATTTACGGTGACCAAGGTGTACCCACATGGTGCAATCGAGATTCTTGGTGATCAAGGGGCGTTTAAGGTGAATGGTCAGAGGATCAAGCACTATATTGAAGGGGTTTCCGTCCTGGAAATCTCAACATATCATCTGGAATGAGCTATTTTACGTCAAGCTAGCGACGCAAAACAAGCGCTTCTTGGGAGGCAACCCAAGGTGAGTTTTTCTTTCAATTTTTTTTCATTTTTTAGTTTTAGGGTGTGTCGAGAGGCTCTCCGCCAAAATTCAGCTCCAAAAGCCTTGAGGAATGTATTATTTGTTGTTTTGTAGGTACACGGGCAGGCTGTTTTTTGCACAGGGAGGCTGCAAAATGAGCACAGGCAAACCGCAAATGTGGGGGGATGACTAATCTGAAAGTTTTGGGGGGGAAGGACTGATCTGACATTTTTGAAAAGGAAGGGGGGTCTGAAAGGGAGAAAGTCCGTTTCTCAAAAAAAAAATAAAATAGTAGCAGCGCAGCGTTTCGGATTCGAAAAAAAAAATTGAAACCGAGTCGGGGTCGGGCTCCTTCCCCCTTCCCCGACTTCCCCTTCTTCCCCCCCCCCTTCTTTGCCGAGCAGCAACAGAGCGCCGCCAGACAGCCCAGCCAACCGCCGCGCCGTCGAGGAGCAGCTCGTCGCCTCCATCCCCAGGCCTCCGCGCCGCCGAACTCCGCCTCGTCGAGGCTGCGTCGTCGGGTCGCGCGACCAGACCCCGCGACCACAGCCCCTCGCCGCCGCATCTTTTGTCCACCGCGCCGGCTCCCTCTCGCCGTAGTGCCGCCCCACCTGCTCGGAGCTCCCGCCTCGCGGCGCCGCAACCCCCAACAAAAGAGCGCCTGTTCGAGCAGCAGCAGAAGCGTCCAGCCCCACCACAGCGCTCGACCAGCATCGGCGGGCCCTATCTCCGGCGGTCGTCGCCGGATTCCATCGTCGCCGCCCACCCAGCGCCCCAACCCAATCCCTCCACCGCCTCCTATCACCCCCTTCCCCCAGGTCTGATTTGAAAAACCTAGAAGTTGAAGAATCAAGAACAGAAGAAAATTAGGGTTCTTCAGATTGGGGGTTTTGCTCAATTTCGAATTTGAAGTGAAATTGGAGTGTGATGATTGCTTGATTGGGCCAATTGAAGTGCAATTACTGTCTAGAAGAATATTTGCAGAAGATTTATGGGTGAATCTTGAGATTTGGTTGATTTGAGGGTTGCAGAATTTAGGGATTTTCTGATTGTGGTAGCAGTGAACTGGAATTTGGGAAGCAGAGTACAGATTTGTGCAAACTTGCTTTTTCAAGAGCAGAGGGGAGGTTTAAGAAGTTTGTTTTCCAGTTTGCACTCTTGGTTGCAGATATGGGACGTCGAAGATATATCCCTCCACCAAGGCAGTTCAAAGTCACTGATCAAAGTGAAGATGGGAAGATTGTTTACCGTTCATGGACGATTGAAGATAGCCACAAGGTGACCGACAAGGACAACCCAATTCCAGAAGTTCCTCCACAACTTCAAGCGGTCAACATGCCCGCTCGATTTCACAGGTTGATCACCGGCCAGGTTGGACCCACGATGCGGTCCCGGACTATTGAGATGACTTCTCCAACTCCATCTCCACCATAGCAGCCTGCTCAAATGGCTACTGAAGAACCTCCATTACCTGATTCAACACCAGTTGTATCACCGGAGAGCAGGCTAGCGAAGAGGAGTCGTCTCCAGCAACCGAGCTCATCTTCACAATCACAGATGCCTTCTTCTTCTTCAGCACCTGCACCATCCACGACACCACGTCGTACTAGCCTAAGTGCAAGCAAGAAGAAGGCTGGTACTCCTCCTCCAAAGGACGTCTCTAAGACGTTCGGTCAACCTGTCCAGCTCCAGAAACATAAGGAAGAATATGCCGATCTGATGAAACGAGAGGTCACCCCTTCTCAGTTCATGGACTATGCAGCATTGCAGAAGACCGAGCAGGCTGAGGAGGTGATGACATACTTCCGCCGGATGAATTGGGCACGATTTCCGGAGCTGCACTTCCCCGCCTATCCACACCTCACCAGAGCATTCTTGGCCACCTACAGCTTCGAGGATAATCGAGTTGAGAGCAAGCTTCAGAGTACTTTGGCCGGGAAAACCAAGTCCCTCACTTTGAGCCAAGTAAACCGAGCACTTCTCTTCGATGGTCCAGCAGATGCAATTCCTGATGAAAAGCAGGACTTGAGTGAGTTTTGGACGACAATTGTGGCAGATGGAAAGGACTTCAATCCTACTTCTTCGAGGAGAGCATCGATCAGAGACCCGGTGATCCCATTAGTACATGACTACTTGGCTCGCACTGTCTTGGGAAAGGGATCCAATGCTAGTGGTGTCTACACCACCGATCTCAGGTACATTCACAGTTTCGTTACTATAACACCATTGTGTGTTGGGTACATGGTGGGTAAGATGCTTGAAAATAATGCACTGAAAACTTGCGGAGCAATTATGTGTGGGGGAATCATTAGCTCGAGCTTACTGGGGGTTCCCGGAGAACCCTACGGGTTTGGAAATCAGTGATGGCTCGACTCTGCTTGGGGAATCAGCATTAGGCAAATTGGGTTTTCTCAGGAAAGTAGGATCTCGTGGAGAGTATCTATCTATCGCCAAATACAAGGAGTGGGAGACCAAGGTCAATCGGAAAAGGGAAGCAAGGGCTGCTAGAGCAACTTCTGCTTCGACATCATCTCCAGCACCATCAGTAGCCACCCCGACCACAGCTCCAGCTCCTACACCCATGCCTCTGGGGGCTTGTTCATCATCACCAACACCAGCAGCAGCGGGACACTCTGCCACGAGTGTCAGCCAGGGCCAGCAGTCACATCCTCCTCCAGTTCCGCATCCAGGAGATACTCCACCAGTTGTACCAGCTTCACCATCATATGCAGACGAGCTCAGAGCCAGAATAGCTATCTTGGAAGCCAGAGACGCAGAGAAAGATAAGAAGATACATGAGCTAAACCCCTCCTTCATAGGAGCTTGTGCCGAGGTTCTTTTTTCTTTTCTTTTCTTTTCTTTGTGAATACTACTCGTAGTGAATGATGGTATGTATACTGTTAGTTAGGTGAACCTATTGGTGTGTCGTGTGTAGTTCTAGACATTGTGGACAATGTCCATCCTGAGTGTGGGGTGGATGGTCTGTGTTCTTGTCGTGTTTTATGTCGAGTCTTAGTTGTCCACAGTGTCTCGTCATGTGTTTATCGTAAAAAAAAAATTGCCATTAGGTTGAGCATAGCCAAACTGCATGCAGTTTGCCTGTGCAAAAAGCAGGCTGCCTGTGTTAATCTAATGGCTAAAAAACACCTAAAAATTAGAAAAAATAAAAACAAAACCTTGTACTCTTGTGGTAACATGACGTAAATGACCGTGATGCTTTGAAAATGAGTTTGTGCTTGAATGAGATCATCAAAATCACCCCCACTAGTGTTGAATTGCAAAGTTCTTCACTATGAGCTTGAATGTTTTGACTGACTTGATATGCTTTGAATGAGCAACTCTTTTAGCAACATTCTCTTTTGTGAGGATAGTGTAATGAATTTTGGTGAAGTAGTTAGGTGGAGAACATTGACCATTCGATATGTTTGGATACCGTGCTTACTTGCATCTATTGTGAGTTGTTGACTTTGCAATGAGTCTCTCTGTTTTGAATGTTTTATGATGGGGTGAACTGTATCTTCATAAAAGAAAACACTACCTGACAAGTAAAATATAAGAAAGTTGCCATAACAATCTAAGTGTGGGTAAAAATGCCAAAATCGTGTGAGGCAATCACTCATTGTACATGGGGATGAAGAAAGATTCAATTGAGAATCGGTTCGCGACCGTACGATGTTGCTTATCAAGTACGATCCCCAGTTGAGTGAAGTGCCATTAGAGAATGTGAAATGACCCTCCACACGGACCGAGGAAAAGGAGTTAAAAGAAGCCCTTATGCGAGTGCTAAGAAGCAGAAATTGCTCTTGCTCGGTCATCGGTAGTAAGAAACAAATCCCACTTGTACTAAATACGACTTCTCGGCAAGCAAAAGCAGAAAGAGAGAAAGCCTCTCCTTGTCATAAAAGGTAGTGATGTGCTTAAAGTTAAAATCATGTTTGCGAAAGGCTTCCCCCATTAGTTTTTGAGACTCATGCTTAATTAATTGCTTATGATTGGTGTGAGTAAGCCAGATTGTCCTCACGAGATATGCACCTCACTGATGTGGTTAGATTCTCCTAATAACTGGTACACCATAAGTTGTTAATCACCCACTACCGACGACCTGAATTGAGTGCTTGCTAATTGAGTTTTTGATGGATTTGAGTCAGTCAATGGTTAAGGGTTGCAAAGACCTTGAGTGTGGGGTGAAAGGTATGACCATTAGAGCACAACTTTACAACAAGAGTACAAGGAAATTTTGTGTTTTTCTTTGAGTGTGTGATTAGTGAGTCTGTGTTGTGTCATTGTTGTGGATGGTTTTGTGTCTTTGTCTTTTGAGTCGTTGCTTAGGGACAAGCAACAATTGAGTGTGGGGTTGTGATAATTGGCTTTAACATATTGAATTCTTGGACTTTATGTGATTATCCATGGTATGTTTTAGCCAGTTGGTGCTATTTGAGGGCTCGCTAACCCGAGAATGGTTGAAAAACCATTACTGCCTAGTGCCATGAGTTTGATATGTTGCAGGTGGAGATTGGGTCGAGCTTCCCTGGGGACCGAATAATTGGAGCAGGCTGCAGGGAGTTGAACGGCAGCAGTGTTTTTGGGCTTGGATTGGCCCACGGAATTAAATGGGGCACGAGCAGCTCAGAGGGGAATTACAGTGCCGAAGTTCCAGTAGTAGAATAAGTTGGACACGAAAATTGGACCCGGGGAAGGATTTGGACGGAACGAATTGTGGGAGGAAAGTAATTTTGGGCTTGAAGGGGGTTTATGGGCGGCAGGCAATTAAAGAAGAGGAGAAGAATTATATGGGGACGTAACAAAGGATTGGATTGAGGGGGACTGGAATTTGATGCGGCCCATTTTTTGATAAAGGAAGAAAGGAGGCGGAACAAATAAAGGGGAACGGAATTAGTGAGGAGGGAAGGAGCAATTATTGTAGAGGGGGAATTCTTTGGCGAGAAGGAAAATAGAAAGGCAGCGAGCAGCGAGAGGCAATTACAGGCAGAGCAGCGTATCGAGCAACCATCGGCGATCGAGTTTTCCAAGGCTTGAGCTGAGTTCAACGAGAACGATTAGTTGGTTGGATTTTCTGAACCAAATTAGTTGTTATTTGTTGATTTAGAACATGATGAACAAAACCCTATCGTTTTATCTTAATTTCGTCATGAACTAAACCCCAATTTCTGGGGGAAACACCATAGGATGTAGCTATTTCTTTATTTGATGGATTGATTCATGATTCTTTTCTTCCAATCTCTATTGCATGAAATTTCTTACTGCTTTGTGTTGACTGGCCACCAATACAATGATTTGTAGTTAATTAGGTTATTAGCGACAGTGAAACCCTAATAACTGAACATATTTCATGTGACATAGTAACTTATCGAAGCGACAGTGGATTAAATAAGGTGCTATGCGGTCTTAAATAGGATATCGATCTTCAGACTATATAGTTAATTCATTGAGCTACGACAGTAGGATTTGGATTGATTATTTAGTACGTAGTAATTCCCGACAGGGATAGCTAGCACATTCGTGATATCCTGGCTGTAGAGGTATGGATTAAATTGATTGGAATAGGTGAATTAATCTGGATAGGATAGGTAGTGAATCCCGGTGTTTCTCCCTGAGCTTTCTTCCATTGAATTAAACCCGACATTTTAATTTGCTTGTTTTTTTAATTACTTTGCTAGTAGATCATAGTTTCATCTCATTAAACATTTTCCCATATAGTTTGCTCAATAAAAATTGAGAGAACTTAAGGTTGTACCAGTCCTTAAGAGACGATACCCGGACTTTCCGGATTACTACAAGATAGGAATTGGCATATGCGCTTTTGACCTATCAGTTGACTGTTAAATGACTGATGTGGCAATTAAAAA